ACCCCCCCCCCCCCCCCCAATGAGACTTTCCTCCCCAGTATTCTCTATGGGCAAAGGCACTCAGGTGCGCTTAAAGTCTTATTGCCTATATCTTATCTTACGACAGGGTCGCCACCCCGCCTTCTTTTTCAGCTATGTATCTGAACTACAAACACATAAATGCTCATTTCAATAGTAGAGGAGCCACTTTTCTTGTATACACAGAAAGATCATTGCTTTGCTGTTAGAGATGAGTAGAAAGAGGTGTGACAATCCAATTATCCAACTTCATAGTGTTATCTCTGACACTGTAAACACTAGTGGCAATGGCTAACTAAAAAACTATCACTACACAACACAACAACAGCTATACCTCAATCCCAAACAAACTGGTCGGCTAAATGAATACTCACTGAACATGTTTCTCCATTTAAATTCATCTCAGGCCAACAATATACAATCGCCATATGCATAACATAATATTCGCATTCATATAATCCAAAGCACAATGATAAAATCCCAAAATTCTAACCTGAAAAGCCTTAGAAATGATGTCATCGTGTAGTGCAACTTCATTCTTACAATTGCAGCAACTGTACAATCTAGGGCCAATAATTTCAGCCATTTGATGATCAAAATAAGCACGCTTTTCTCAATAGCTGTGACACTCTTCTAAGATCATCACAGCAATATGTTAATTACCAAGCAGAATACAGATCCAATAAAACCAACTTAACCACAAAAACAAACTGCAAAGCAAAAAAAGATTATACCTTTATATCTTCAAGAACTACAATATGTTATCTACACAGCCTTTCTTCTTTGACCAAAAAAGTGTATCTGTTTTTATCTACAAAAAGAAAAAAAAGCAGTTAAACAGAGGTGATCTTAACCATCAAAATCAAGTTCTGTTGAAAACCAATTAGGACATAATCATTAAGTGATGATCTTAGATAATATACCAAGAAAAAAAAGGGAAACTTGGGAAAACTAAGCAGTAAAGATCCAATTTTTATCTTAGAGGGGGAAAGAAAGAGGAGAAAAAGAGCACAACCCAGTTGAGAAAAAGTAAACCCCATTTGGAAATAGTAGGTGAAAAGTCAAAATGCTGCCATTTAAAGGGGAAAAAAAAAAGAAAATAAAATCAATTATCTGTGTAGGCTGCAACTTTTAATGAAAGAACTTCTCTAGCTCAAAATTAGATAGGGATTAGCTATGGATATTAGCACTTGCTAAATCAAAAAAAAAATGAAAAAATAATTTAGTGCCAAAATAGCACTCCCGTTATTAATTACTATAATTATCTGTGAAGTTAAGGAGTCAAGAAAAGACCTGGTCATAGTGTCAAGGTAAGCAATCGCAGATTGATCAGTTGGTTGTCACAGAGAGAGAGAGAGAGAGAGAGAGAGAGAGAGTGTTTTACAAAAGATTACAGTTGGTGAGTTTATGATTACAAAAGATGACAAGCAGATGAACTGGAAGCATCAAGATAGACGACAACGTTTCAAGTGAATAATATTCTGATGAAAGTACATACTCAATTAAGGCCATTTACATGGGCTCTGTGTTTTACTTGTTTTGTTCCATGGTGCTTAATTGGATACAATAAGAAAATAAAAAAACTTTTGACATATATCTCACTTATATTTAACGTATATATTAGATATATGTAAATGTATTAAAATTGTTTGTTGAAATGACTGATTTTCATGTCCTTTTTTTTCCCTTCTTATAAAAAAAGAAATTTTATATTAAACGAGTTTCAATAAGTTTATGGTAAAATGGAGATATTTTTAAGTTGTTTCCTAAAACAAGTGGAGTATCAATCTTTTTTAGATTTAGATGGATGAAAAAGGGCAACAGAATGGTGGTCAGACCAACTATGTTGTATAGGGCTGAATATTGGTTAATCAAGAGTTTCCATGTCTAAGAGATGAAGGTGGCAGAAATGAGTATGCTAAGATAGATGTGGGGGAACATCAGGTTAGATAGGATTAGAAATGAAGTTATTCGGGACAAAGTGAATGTGGCCCCTATTGAGGACAAGATGCGAGAAGCGAAGTTTAGATGGTATGAACATGTGAGGTGGAGAAGCACAAATGCCCCGGTAAGGAGATATCGGAGGTTAGCATTGAAGGGCCTAAGGAGGGGAGAGGTAGGCCGAAAAAGAATTGCGGAGAGGTGATCAGGCAAGACATGGCGCAGTTCCAACTGACCGAGGACATGACCTTTGATAGGAAGTGTGGAGGTCGACGATTAGGGTAGTAGGTGAGGTAGTCTAGTGTTTTTCTTGTTCATACCGGTAATACTAGTACGTACTTACGTTATTCTGTTGGTATTAGGTTTCTATGATTACCTATCATTTCTTTCATTTCGGTCATCTTACTATCTTGTTGTTATTTATGCTACTTTTACATGGCTTCTCGTTGTTGCCCCTTCTTATTTTTCTTTTTATTAATGTAATGCTTATGCTTTCCTGAGCTGAGGGTCTATTAGAAACAGTTTCCCTATCTTCACAAGATAGGGGTAAGGTCTGCGTACACATTACCCTATCCAAACACCACTATGTGGAATTATAGGGTATGTTGTTGTCTGTGGATGAAAAAGGGACAGCCCTACCCAAACTCAATACTGTAGTAAGTCCACTGAATCTGTGCGCGTCTTCTTGTGCATCAACATCGTATTAATGATCAAGGAGAAGATCACAATTGTGATCAATAGCCTCTCTACATGCACAAGATAGGGGTAAGGTCTACGTACACACTATTTTCCTCAGATCCCAATTTATGAGAATAAACTGGGTATGTCGTTGTTGTATAGACTATACGTGTTCTATTCTAATCTTTGTACCAAAACACAATAGAAGCACGTATTGTCCATCAGTTTTAGACCAAGCTTTTAGATTCAATTAGCTTATAGGAACCAATTGCGATTAAATAGATTTTTGCATATAAAATTGATTTTTGCATATACATTGAAGTAGTCAGAGTTTAAGCAGAGAAGACTAATAGCCCGTTTGGCCAAGTTGCAAAAATCTTATTTTGAGAAGTGCTTTTTTTCAAAAGTGCTTTTCTCAAAAGTACTTTTGGTGAGAAACAGTTTGTGTTTGGCTAATTAGTTTGAAAAACATTTCTGAGCAGCAATTAGTGTTTGGCCAAGCGTTAAAAAATTGCTTCTAAGTGTATTTTTCTCAAAAGTGCTTCTCAAAAAAGTGATTTTGGAGAGAAACTACTTTTTTCTGCTTCTACAAAACTGCTTCTGCTTCTCCTCAAAAGCACTTTTTTTCCTTCTAAAAGTTTGGCCAAATACCTCAATTTTTGGCCAAAAGTGCTTTTGGCAATATCAATTGAATGAGTCTCTAATATTGTGAAAAATGTAATACTATGGATACATTGAAGCATCAATCCCTGGAACTTCTTGAACTTGGCTACATTGAAGCATCAATTGAGCAGCCCTTCTATTGCTAAGCTTGTAAGAAAGAAAGAAAAAGGTCGTACCCTAATATGTCTAAAGGTGATCATTTGGTCAAGAATGATATAGGATGCCAAGGATATAGGTCAATCATAAAATTTGTATACACATAACTTGTTAATGTTTTTACAAGTAGAAATTGTGAGTATAGGACATACAATTAGTTAGATTAGAAACAAGAAAAATGAATAGGTACAAGGGAAATATCAAAACCCCAAGGTAAAGATAGGTTTCTGATTCCACTAGTACATGTACTCAACTTGTCTTCGCACTGTATACAAGTGTTTTCATATTTTTCTTTTTTTTTCCAACAAAGCAACCTCTTAAAAACCGATTGCAGTATTATATCTGCTGGTGGTAACAGTAAGTTGGGGTAGATGATTGCATATAAATCTCAGTTCTCGTACCTTCTTTAAGGAGATTAAACAGAAGCAAATATTAACGTCAAGACTGATAAGCCATCATGATCCCCAACAACGAAGTAGATTAGACCAGCTAGAAAGTATACCATCTACGAGTTTCTGAAACAATCAATGAAAAATCTGCTGAAAAGAAAAAAAGAGAAGACTCTATTCCAGCTAGAATTCTAAACTTTGAGCTAATCCCATTACTTAGAATCATGTAAAAAGAAGAACATAAATCTACCATGAAATCTAACAATGATCAAATTTTTGTAATGAACTGTTCAAAAGAGCAAATTACTCATCCAGTAGACTCAACTTCTTGTAACAACCCCAATACTAAAAATGAAGAATCTTCCAAAGTCTACCACGAAATTTAAGAAAGTTCAAATTTCTGTGATGAACTGTTAAGCAAAATTTCACACCTAGAATGATTACCATACCCAAAATTCCCCACAAAGAAGTAGAACTAGACTAGCTAGCAAATAAACCAATTACAACTACTTAAACAATCAACAAAAAATCAGCTTTAAAACAAAATCACCCAAACTCTTGCTAAGACAGAGAAAAGGCTCTATTGCATAAGCAACTCAAACTCTAGTCCCATTACTCAAAAATCAACAAAAAGGCAGAAAACATAAATCTTCCAAAATCTACCACAAAACCTAACAAAGTTCAGATTTTTATAGTATCTTTCTGATCATTATCATCTTCACATCCATCAACCAAACTCACTCATCTTAAACTTTTCATACCCTCCACATTGTTCTAAACTACTATAGATGAGTAATTGTATTTTGTAAGGAACTGCTAAAGAAGCAAATTTTCATGCCAAGACTCATTGCCATACCCAAAAGAAGTAGAACTAGAGCCGTTAGCAACTAAAACAGTTACAAGTACTAAAATAATCAATGAAAAATCAGCTAAATAGAGGGGGGAGGAACAATTAACCAAAAGTCTTCTCAGCCAGAGAAAAGCCTCTATTGCATAAGAGGCTCGAATTCTAAACTTGAGTTGGTCCCATTACTCAAAATCAACAAAAAAGCATAACATAAAATCATCCAAAATCTACCACGAAAACTAACAAAGTTAAAATTTCTGTAACGAACGCTAAAGAAAAACATTCACAACATGACTGATAGCCACACCCACATTTACCCAAACAAAGAGTTAGTTATAACAGCTAGCAACTGAAACAATTACAAGTAGTAAAAGAATAAACCAAAAATCAATTAAAAGAAAGGAATAATAAACCAAAATTACTCCTATTTCATAAGGAACTATTAAAAAAGAAGCAAACTTTCATGCCAAGACTGATTGTCGCACCCAAAATTCCCCAACAAAGTAGAATTATACCAGCTAGCAACTAAACCAATTTCAACTACTAGAATAATCAACGAAAAATCAGCTTAGAAGAAGAAAAAACAAAACAAACAACAAACTCTTGATCAGACAGAGAAAAAGCTCTATTGCATAAGTAGCTCAAATTCGAAACTCAAAGTAGTCCCATTACACAAAATCAAGTAAAAAAGCAAAATATAAAATTTATTCACTCCAGTACTTCTCTTCACCATTGATTTTTGTAAAGATCTTTTAGAAAGAAGCAAACTTCCATAGCCAAGACTGATTGCCATATAATCAAAACTCCTCAACAAAGAAGTAGAATTAAAACAGCCAGCAACTAAACCAATTACAACTACTTAAACAATCAACAAAAAATCAGCTGACTAGAAATAAAACTATTAACCAAAAGTCTGAGCTCTAGTGCATAAGAGGCCAAGTCCCATTACCCAAAATCAAGAAGAAAAAAAGCATAACATAAATTCTTCCAAAATCTACCACGAAACCTAATAAAGTTCAAACTTTTATTCAATCCAGTAACTTTTTTATGACCGAGCTATCCGTTGGGACCCAACACAGCTGGCAACTACACCAATTACAAGTACTTAAACAATTAACCCAAAATCAGCTAAAAGACGAAACAACAACCAACCAAGTGTTGATCAATTGCACAAGTAGCTGAAATTCTAAACTTGAGCCATCACTTCGAATAAAAAAAAGCATAACATAAAATCTTCCAAAATCTACCACAAAATCTAACAAAGTTCTTTTTGTTATGGCCGAGAAATCTGTCTGGGGCCAACCCTTAAGAATTCGAAACTCGCAAACAATAAGCTCGCCCTTCTATCCTTCTCCACTTTTATTCACTACTTCAAACAATGTTCAAATTTTTATTCACTCCAGTACTTCTCTTCACCGTCTTTACGATCTTTTTCATCACTATCATCTTCAAAACCATCAACTACACTCATCTTAAACTTCTTAACATCCTCCACAGCAGCATTTCTAAACAAGCCAATATCCACTGCACCCGAAACCATATGATACCCTCTTGATTTCAACTTCTCAGGTCCATCGTGTGGCATTGCAAATCCAGATAAGTAGGCTCCACCTTCAGCTGGGGCCCGCTTTAACACCCCTTTTTCAGCTGCACTCAGTACTTCCCTCACCTTCTTATGCCCTGGATCCCACAAGTACCCTAAACTCGCACTTAAATCCAACGGCCCCATTTGAATGCAATCAACCCCTTCAACGGCTGCGATGTCTTTTATATTTTTTACACCGTCAGTGCATTCTACTTGACACATGATTAGTAAATCGTCGGAATAATTGCTTAGATAGCCTTCGTCTATTCCGTAGCTCGAGGCCCGAACGACAGTGTGGGCTGATCCGCGGATTCCGTTGGGAGGAAAACGGCAGTAAGACACAGCCTTTCGGGCCGATTTCGGGCCGTCAATCATTGGAAACATGATACCTTGCGGGCCGAGATCGAGGGCTTTTTTAGCCCAAGTAGCAGAGGATTCCGGGATACGGAGGATGGCGGGGGTGTTAGTGGCGGCTAAGGCGTGGAGACAGGGGAGGGCGTCGGAGATACCGCCGTGGCCGTGCTCCATGTCGACGACGGCGAAGTCGTAGCCGACGAGACCGGCGATTTCGGCGAGAGTTGGGGAGAAACTGAGGAGGAAAATGCCGTAGAGGGTTTCGCCATTTTTAAGGCGAGTTTTGAGGGGTAGTGGGATTTCGGAGGTGGTGGCGGCGGCGGGTACGGCGGAGGATTGGAGGGTTTTGAAGTTGGGGTTTAGGGTTTTGAGGGTAAAGGTTTTTTTAATTTGCGGAACTAGACAACGGAAGGAAGGGAAAATTGGGGAATTAGAAGGGAAGGATTTTCTTAGAGTTGAGAGAGATGGAGGAGGAGAAGAAAGAGTGGCCATTACTGCAATTTTTGGTTGTCAAATTGTGGGATCTATCAAAACATATACTTGGTAGACTCCTGATAAGACTAGGATAATTCAAATGTATTCAAAAGATAAAATGATCAAATTTGTCCGGTAAAATTGAGTAATTTTGTCATCAAAAAACTTTAGTTTAATATTATTCGAGTTTTTGGTCAATATTGTCCCATATCTTTGAGGGTAGGTCTATTTTGGTCCCTCAAATATAGCCCTGAGCATATTTAGTCCCTTAAGTATGCTAAAGTGGAACACTTTTAGTCTCACTGATAGAATCTGTCCAAGATCAATCACGGGGTTGGTTTCGGCACTCACAGTTTTTTTATTTACTTATCGATAATATTTTATAAACTAACACCCATTAATAGTACAGAGCTGATAAATTTAAGATTTTAACGTTGAAACTTTTACTTTTAAAAATTTAGGTTGATCTTTCCAAAAAGAAAAGTTAAAATTTGAAAAAAATAGAGCTACCAAGATCACTTCTAGGCATATTATTGAAACATACGAATAAACAGCTTGAATTATCACTTTTAGCCCGCGCCAGAAACTATTTACATCTAATAGCCGAAAAAGTATAGAAAATTTGTACAATTTTTGTATATTAACATACAAAATGATATACGAATTTTATACATTTTTCGGCTATAATTTTTACATCGGTATACAATGTCATTTTCTCATTGAAAACTGACACAGAAGGGGATATTTTCAAGGTCAAAATTTAGAAGATTTATCTAAAAATGAGGAATTAAAGTTATAATATGCGTTATCAATAAAAGGAAAGGAAGTGTTTTGCTTCACAGCAGAAGATTTGCTTCATCAATCAGAGTTGGTTAACGCCGTTAGTTTTTTAAAATATTTTATCAGTAAGACTAAAGGTGCTCCAGTTTAGCATACTTAAGGGACTAAATATGCTCAGGGTTATATTAGAGGGACCAAAATAGACCTACCCTCAAAGATAAGGGACAATATTGGTCAAAAACTCAATATTATTCTGTTGATAGGAAAATGTTTTGGACTTTTACAGCTTGCGGGTATTATATCGTATTATTACTTTATGTACATTATTTATTTTGATTGTTAATTATATTTGATCACATAGTTTTGTTTAATCCGTCATTATGCAATAACGAACTTTATGTAACGGCCAATTTAATTTGAACACGTTGTTACTTTTTTTTCTTCTCATTTTATCATTTTTTTATTATTAAATAATTATATTTTATCTTTTACCCTACCTTTTTATATAATAATTCTACCTTGTATCTTATTTTCTCTTTGTAATATTGCAAGTTCATTTTTCATATTGTTGGTGCATAACATCATAAAACAACGACAAACAATACAATCTATCCAAAAATTATATATATCAAAACAACAAAATTATATATATCAAAACAATACAGTACCGTACGATACAACACATAACAACCATTCAAACAAGCTGTTAGTCGTTGACTCTAATGGGGATCTAATTTCAAAGTACTTTAAATTACAGTCAAAGTTAAGAGATAATTTTTAATTATTTCTTACTTGAAATTTTAGATAAGTTAAATTCACTCATTTCACAGAAAGGGATCAAAATAAAAAAGGCTAGAATTGAATAATTTCAAATAGTAAAAAATTTAGATCTTCTCTCTGATTCAAAATATGAGCTGAGCCAAAAGTGGGGGCACGTGCTCACATGTGAGATCTAGAGGAAGATGTCTGTCTCTGAATTACTGAAGATCAACTTTGCCCGTTATTTTATACTCCCTCCTGTCCAAAATAATTACTCCCTCCGTTTTAAATTAAATGAGCTAATTTGACTCGACATAAAGTTTAAGAAAAAAAAATACTTTTGAAATTTTGTGGCCTTAAAAGCTTAACGGGTAAAACTTTGTGGGGCCATGACTTTGTGTGGTTATAAAAGTTTCTCATTAAGGGTAAAACGAGGAGTTTAAAGTTAATTATTTCTAAATTTAGAAATGTATCATTTATTTTGGAACAGACTAAAAAGGAAAGTACCTCATTTAATATGAAACGGAAGGAGTACTTTTTTAGCTATTTTCACACAATAAAATTGATCCTATTAACCTTTATTATCTCTTCACATAAACACTCATAACACATACTCCAACACTATTAACTCCAAGGGCAATGTAAGAAAAAAATAATTAATTAATTCTTGAAATCTGAAAAAACACTTATTTTGGACCACAAAAAAAAAAGCCAAAAAGTCACTTATTTTGAACCGGAGAGAGTATTTTATAATGTTTGTTGTCACTACACTATTTCTTGCACATATCGTACTATACAAAAAAGAAAGAAACAAAAGACAGTACATTACAAACTAGTGTAACAGACAAAAGCCTGAAACATAATACTTGCCTAGATGGTTTTAGTAGGTTCCATGTTCATTTCACACACTAACACATTTTTTAACGAGGATAAACTCTATTTTTTTTAATAAAGTTTGGTTATGGGCACGAGCAAATCAAATCAACGATCATGTTAGTATTACCATGAATGACAATTATTGTTTAGACGTACATTATTTCTCCAAAGTAAGCTTAATAGTAATAGAATATAGAATACAAGGTCAAAAAATATGGATGAATCCTCCCACGAACGACTTTAATAGGACTAATTAAGCATGTCTCATTAGGTATATTTGAACAAAATTACAACTTAATGTATATTCATATTACAAGATAAATCCAGGATCTAAAATAAATTGGCCAAAATTATATTTTAACGGCATAAAAAGGATATAGTGGTACGAGCCTATAGAACAGATCCTGTTCGACTAAGGAGGTTGTTTTTCCGGCATAAGTAAGATAATACCTCTGGGACTGGAGACGCGGATCTGCACAGGAAGCTTGTATTCAGCTCGCACTCCACCAATAAATGAAGAAATTCTCTACAAACCGATGATTCTGTTTATTCATCACTTGGAGCTGGATTACTCCATGAGCTTCTATTCAACAATGGCGACCATAATTCCAGCCATGTGAATAGTAAACTCTGCTCCTTCCTATAACTCAATCTGCAAATCTAAACGAGTGTGTCTGAGTTGGTAATTCAACTTGGATTAAAGAATTTGAAACTGTGGCTGTCGCAACATCAGACAGAAACCTGAATATACACATCTTTACACAATCGTGAAGATCTTTTGGCATCAAGAGTCCAATTCTCTTCTGTCCCAATCTTCCTCCCGACTTGACATGGCATTTAGCTGCTGTTGCAACTAGCAACAGTAGAAAATCATTGTTAATAATATACCGAGAAAGATGCCTCTATCCGTCCCTCCGTGCAGACTTCATTTTTTTCCTTGTGTGTGTGTGTGTGTGGGTGGGGGGGGTGGGGGGGGGGTAGCG